GTAATTTTAAGGGGCCTAAAAACTCTCTAATAGATCGTAGTACGATTTACCGATCGCATCTCATGACCTTCAACTATTGAGCCAATTTATTGGCCAACAAATCGGGGGAAAGTCCATAGTCACACCCGCATAACGCTGATGATCTCCTCTAGTCGGTCGTTTGACGTTTTCTCGTTCTCCCTGTAGCTGAGGGAATTAATATGTTGGCAAGCCTGTAGTGACACGATGCCCGTTTTGTATCGCAAAACGACCCTCTTCAACCCGGCGACCCGAAGATTTACGTACTGCGCCCATTGATGACTGCGATCTTGTATCAACAACAGTTTTCGAAACGTTATCCACCACTTCGATCTCGGGTCCCGGACACAATTTATAACGCGCCACCTCCATACATTAACCTAACTAATGACCCGGTGTCAAATATAACGAAATCTCGACGCTTGGAGATATTTTAAGTATCCAATATTCACGCCACAACCAGTCACTTGTTTATGGATTATGCGTCGTGGCTGGACATTTTATGATTGGACTCATTGCTTCTCTTCAGCACTTTTATCCCGTGTTTTGTCGCAAAACAATTCAAAGAATTTTTTCTTGTCGCGTCTTTGTCAGACATCAAAGTCAAATGTTAGCCTCGGTCCATCCCATGCTCAAGATGTTTCCCATTCGGATGCATGTTTAACGCAAAACACATGTGGCTGCTGCTAATCCAGCGTTTCTGACCTGCCATCCTCTTCAACGTCACCGTTGTCAATGAGAAGGACGAGCTTTCGCACCCGCTTTTCCAAAAAGTGTTTTCGGGGTGTTTGGCCTGCAATTGTCGTCCGACACAAAAGGGCTTCCTGTCGCGTCCTAAAGGGGCCTCTTTTAAGCCGATTAATAGGCATGTCGTCACGTGACGCTAATCCGTCATCGCCCATTGGCGCGAATAATGCGAATCGATCCACTGATCTTTCACAAAACTCAATTATTTCCCAGTCTTGAACCAGCAAAAAAATCGTTCAAGGGGCTACTTTCACGTTTTTGATCGCCCTATTTGAAGTGTTGGGGGGGGGGGGAATTAATTCTTACCAAAAACCCAGAAATTTGCCTAAATTGATGAGAAACGAAAATGTTTAAATGAAAAGATTGTTGATAAGTTCTATATTGTTGAGGCGGATTCATTTTTTTACAAACTTATTTTTGGGTATTTCGCCTCAAAAATTTTTGCCTTTAAAAAAGACAGAATTAAGACAGACAGAAGGAAAAGTTTGCCAGATGAACGTTTCTAAACACAAAAAACATCAATTATCGACAACACATGGAACACGGGCTTAATACGAAGCGTTTCGCAATCTCATCTCAAACATTGGACCCATTGAGAGTCACCCCTAATAATGTAATATTTATGCACGTGTGTCAAAATTTGAAGAGCACCATTTAAAATCTAACCACAATCATTGTCGATAATTAATTCGTGCCCTATAAACACTCGGGCGACCATAAACTCCAGAGAAACCCGTAAATAAGGGCATTGATTGTTTATGTGTCAGGTTATAGCGATTAGCGTGGAAATACAGAGTAGAAACCCTTTTAAGGCGAGGGTTTCTTATACAATATCTTCGAAAAATCAACCCAGTTTCAAAAAAATGTGGGCGTAAATGTAAAAACAGCGTTGGCCAAAGGTCGAAACTTTGGCAGTCCCGACGGTATTTAATAGAGAGTTTTTAGGCCCCTTAAAATTACGTTGGCCTTAAACGCTAAACGTTATTGTGATCATGCGCAATGTTAAAAAAATGAGGCGTTCAGGCAAATAACGTTAATTGCGTTCTTAGTTTTTGATACCGCGTTTGCTGCACTCTCCATAAAATAAACCTCACTTTATTGTTTTCTTAGGAAAAGTTTCAAAGCTAGTTTAAGTTTGTATTGTTATTGCACAAAAAGTGGCTAAGATGGAAGCAAACATTGAAGCTGCCTTTATCTAGCTATTTTTAATTTAGAAAATATTGAGCCTAGATATTGCCTTATCAATTTTAGGTTTCAGAACGAACATATTGCGAACATATTAAATAAAAATTCTAAATCAAATAGTTAGGTTATGGGTTAGAAGTTGGAACCTGTGCTTGCGATGTTAGTGGTGTTGCCAAAGTTCAAATTTGCCCAAACAATTTCCACATAAAATCCGTATTTACGCAATAATGGCGTAAGCTAATCAATGAAACAGTCTTATTTAAATTTACAAAGATTTCTTATTCTATTAATAATATTAGAAATAAGTCAAATATGTGTCAACACCGTCGTTCTACTTTATAACGTGATGCTTATTAACGTTACCGCTACTCAGACGTAAATAAAGGAACACGTTATCCTCTAATATCGAAAACGGTTATTTCTTTACTGTTGCGTATGCTTAAAACATCGGATAACGTAAAGCGTGTGGCAATTAAGGGGCCCAAAAACTCCCTATTATTGGGGATTGTCACAGTTTTTTGGGCGTTTTCGCAAATTTTTGTCGTTTCTTTTCCATCGCGCATTCTTCTTCAGCCAGCGCTGCAAGAAATTAATGGGAGGCGTTTTCCATTGTTAACCGATTCTAGCCGTAATCGCCTGATTTAGTTCGATTTTTTCCATTACCAGATAATAGCCGCCGCAAGCACTTACGCGAACGAATCATGGTTCCTTCTGTGGTTGTTTAGGTAGTCATTCTAGGCAAATACACCTTTCTCAACGCAAACAGAGGTTTTAAAAATAAATCAACACGGCCGGTCAATGGGTGCTCGAAATTCCATTAAAGCAGCACTCGACTGTTTGTTGGCGCTTCCAAAATACGTGTCAATTCGGGATTTTATGCACTCTAAGTGACTCTTTCCAAAGGCTTCTGTGGTCGGAAATACTCCTTTTCGAGTGGTACCACCTGAGGAATCTGTTTTGAATTCAGACATTCACTCATCAGAGAACCGATTTTGCTCTTTAAAATGGAACCAGGCCAACCTCTTTATTTGCCCTATTTTCGGTGCAAATGCAGTTGGAAACGTGAATTGCAGAAGACGATTAAAGCGACCAGGACATGAGAAAATATGTCCAAATTTGCCTGTTAAGAGCCTGAGTCGAGTGTTATAACTCCTTAACAAATGAGTTACAACTCAAAAGCGCAACACAGTGGTCCTGAAGATTTGTAGAAATTCGCGCCTTAAGGCCAATAAAGCCGGCCGATGAGCGATCAAAGAAGAGCTTCTGTTCTGCAAACTGGTACCAATCGGAACCGTCCGCATGGCCTATTGTAAACGTTACTGGAGGTCAAAGTTTGACAAGCAGGCTTTGGACGACGAAGACCTTGAAATGTTGCCCAAGTGGGCCGGGCATTCGATGCGGATCCGTCAGTCAGCAATTAATTGTCAACTGTCACTGTCAAGTAGAGTGTGCAACGCCAACGTGATTTTTCCGACTGATGCACATAAATCAGCCCGTTATGGTAATTGGACGGTGCGCAACTGGTGACCATAACTCAAAACGTCTGAGGAAGGAGATGAAGGAAAAAGGCAACATCAGTGAAAAAGTGTAATTTACCAGCCTAGTTGAGACGACTACATTGCACCCGTTAACTGCCGGACGAATTATTATGAAATTATTCAACATTTCTGCGTCGAGGCGAGATCGTATCTGTTTTTACGGAAAATGACCCGATCTGGGTGGCGCAAGTGATAAAAACAAACGATAACCGGACTCACGGCGCATTCCTGACGCGGGTTTTTTCACCCGAATGGACCGAAGAAACAAGAGAAAAATAAAATGGAAAACCGACACATAAATAAATAAATGTCGTGCCAACTTCACGGCGGCTGAGCTGGACCACACGCACAAAATGGCGTACGTGTTAATTCACGGGTTGTTTTACGAAAACGTGTCGTTGCTCGTTTGTTTCCCCTGGTTGTTGATAACGCAATTTTCAGTGACGTTCGCTTGCTTTATTGGTTGGGAAGATTTTTCAATTTTTGCGTGCAACTGTTTGTGCTTGTTATCGCAGCCATCTTGCTCCACATTTGAATTTCCAGTTTTGTCCATCCTTACCTTAAAGATCACTTCAAATTAAGCCCTCTCAGTGAACAGTTTTCCTGAAGGGTCCATAAATTAGCCAAAAACCATTCACAAACTTTAAGGAAAATCGCCATTTTCTGGGTAACTCCAAGCGAGCGGTGTTGCCAAACTGCGCACAATGTTTTAAGTTAATGAAAACTGTTTCTTTGGATACCTACCAAGTAGATTCATTCAATTTGGGTTAGGTAGGGTTAGATAGGCACTCGCTACCATGCTAACACAAACTGAGTTAAGTGGTTCATTCATTCTGAAATTTTCCTTTTATTCATTGTTACATTCACTGTTAGTAATTGGGTGAAATACGTGGCAGCGCCGCATTGTGCTGAATTATCGAAAGAAATATAAACAACCCAGCAACTGACTATCGACATAACCTCAAGCAATGGCGAGGTCCGGAAAGATGTCAAACTTTTGCAAAAACTTTAATTATTATGCATCTTAGCGGCAATTTTCCATGTGGAGTAATGAATTGTTGATGCCTGAAACGCGATTTAGCAGCAAATATCATTTTCGTGCATAAATAAGTGGTTTTGGAAACTCAAATTTCAAAACTTTGTGAGTGTTTTCGGCTTCATTTATGGAGAGTGCTTACTCTGAAGTGATCTTTAAGGTAAGAATAGAGAAAACTAGAAATTCCGACAACCTCAAACGACACCATCATCCAAAGGTCTGAGATAGTTGGACGCTTCCATTGTTTCATTCAGCTCCACTCGGTTGGGTGTGGTTAACACAGTTTTTGGTTTCTGGTTCAAGATGAGTGGAAAAACTCGGTTAATTCCTGCAGAAAACTCGGGAAACCTTGTGAAGTAGACGCGATTGAGTTGCCGAGGAACATAACCCTGCCGGGGCCCGAAAATTCGTCTCTGATTTGCCGTTTTCATTAGGTTTTTCGCCTCTTGGTTAGGGAGTAGATGGTAGGTACTTACCGGTCGCGTTCCGTTGAATCGTTTGCGTCAGTCCGTGCCCGTTTAACCTGGAACAAACAGGAAAACTTGCTCAGAAGCAGTTTATCTTGCCAATTTCCTGCATGTGGCCGTTGTTGGTGTATCAATCAACCTGCCTTTGCGGGGCTTAAAGGGGCCAAAACTCAGCCGTCGGCACTTCGACATGATTCCGCTTTTAAATGGCGTTCCGGCAAACTTCTTGGATAGAAATGGGGGTTTTTGAGGACAATGAAACCGATTTTCAACCAAAAGGTTTGAAACTTTCCCAATCATCCTCAAGTCTGTCGCGCCATTGATTTCCCTTAGTGGGCCTCCTACAGACGAAGCAAGCACGTCTAGAGCGCCATTTCAACCGCCGTTCCCATGCCAACGGCGTCCTTTTTCCCCCCAAACCAGCCAATCCAGGCGCTTGGCGATGAGCGCAAAAATCTGTTCTTGCACAAAACATTTCCCAGAATCTTACCTTGGGTTCGCACATCTTATCGATCATGGTGCATCGGGAATTTTGCGCAGCGTTCAAATAGTTGCACGGCATTAAAGTCACCATTTTCGGGTACCAATCACAGTGGCCCCCCTAACTGGCATGCACAAATCATAGAAGCACTGAGCACAAACACTCATCCACAACGGGGCACAACGATCAATGAAACACCGAAGGAAAAAGTCGCACAGTGTCAAATCCGGCGATGTGAACGGAGCTTTAGCAGACACTTCGACCGAGACGGAGCAACCGGAGACTTTGGTAATCTGTGGGACCGACTGCATCTCGGCCTGCTCGATGAAGAGGCCCCCGACTGGAAGCCCCTCTGGTGGCGTGCCGGGCAACTGTCGCGGACCAATCGCGTGGCTGGTGGGCGTGGTTAGATGCGGCCCTCAGTCAGTGGGAAAGGGCGTGCGCGGCGTCAGAGTCGAGGAGCGGGGATCAACATTATTCAAAGGAAAAGTTGGACTTTGAGGAGTTTCCGCGCTCATCAGTTGTTTGGTTATTTAAAGTGTTCTGTTCATGTGTTGAAACACTTTCGTATCTGCGTTGAAACTAGTTTAAAGTCATCAAATGAGCCACTTGATGAACAGCCGGTCTGATCCCCTGGGAAGGGGTGGAGTCGTTATCGGGCATCTGGATGGCCTGGAGTCGCTCTGATTAACCGTTTCCGATATGTTGGTCAATGTCGGGCGGATTGAGGCGGCAAAAACGCCAATTAAGGCCTAATTTGCCCGGTGAAAAATCCGCCTGAGTAACGCGAACCGATGCACGTTTTTCGCTGAACTTTTCCCATCGAATCCGGATGTAGGAAGTCACTTGTCAAGTCAATTAGGGCCGAATTACCCTCTGAGACTGCCATAAGTGTTTGCTGGCACAACGCGACTCGGTCCGATGCGAAAAAAACCGACTCGTTAAACATTCGCGGCTCGAAATGCGGTAAATTAGCTCCATCTGGTGTCGTAATTCAGATAACGCCGTCACCTGTCAGATGTGACAGTTAGAAACATGCGAATTACAGCGCGCCGACACCATGCGCGCGTAACCCGACACTCTGCCACAGGAAACAAAGAAAAAACTTCATAATCGCGTGCAGCTTTGCAAAAACAACTGCACCAACTATGTAGATGATTATTGGTTGATGGTGATGGATGATGGTTGTCTGCAATTGTTTTTTTCAACGCAACCAGTTCTATTGAAGCGGAACTAGTTGATTTAACTGCGTAAAGCCTGTGTGTTATGCATCCGTTTATACGATGGTACGATGATACGAAAGTGTTTCTATTGGTTGGAGATCTGTCAATTCATTCATTCAGAATTGACAGATCTCCAACCAATAGAAACACTTTCGTATCATCGTACCATCGTATAAACGGATGCATAACACACAGGCTTTACTCTACAAAGATAACTAGGTATATGTGTGTAAAAAGGAAAAAACGAGTAGTTTAATAGTCGATCTATGCCTATACTCTCGTCACTCCAGAGCAAAACAATGACTCGAAAAGCTGTTTTTGAATCCAGTTTCCAAATTAATTGCGTAAACCCCGGTATTTCAAACTGCACCTAACCTTACATCCGTTTGAGCATAGAGCGCGCCTCATACCCGCACTTTACAACATCAGTTTTCTTTGGTTGCAAGAATGAATGTTTCCATATGCACAGCTTGCGGTTAAAAAGAAATTTTTCCTAGAAAATCTCCAAAAATAGTGCGAAAGCACTTTTAGATACTTTTTTTGACATTGCGCACCGTCTCAACAGACTAAATTTGCTTAAGAACCTAAGCGCGTGTGCCATGCATCCGTTTACACGATGGTACGATGATTCGAAAGTGTTCCTATTGGTTGGAGATCTGTCAATTCGTCTTACTCTAGTCGGACGCGCCAAACACATGAACGCAACGCATTTGACAGTGACACTGACAAAATTACATGCGGAAATGTTGCCAGATGAACGTTTTTAAACGCAAAAAACATCAATTATCGACAACACGTGGGACACGGGCTTAATACGAAGCGTTTCTCAATCTCATCTCAAATATTGGACCCATTAAGAGTCACCCCTAATAACGCAATATTTATGCAGCTGTGTCAAAATTTGAAGAGCACAATTTAAAATCTAACCACACTCATTGTCGATAATTAATTCGTGCCCTATAAACACTCGGGCGACCATAAACTCCAGAGAAACCCATAAATAAGGGCATTGATTGTTTATGCGTCAGGTTATAGCGATAAGCGTGGAAATACAGAGTAGAAACCCTTTTGAGGCGCGGGTTTCTTATACAATATCTTCGAAAAATCAACTCAGTTTCAAAAAAATGTAAGCGTAAATGTAAAAACAGCGTTGACCAAAGGTCTAAACTTTGACAGTCCCGACAGTATTTAATAGAGAGTTTTTAGGCCCCTTATAATTACGTTGGCCTTAAACTCTAAACGTTATTGTGATCATGCGCAGTGTTAAAAAAATAAGGTGTTCAGGCAAATAACGTTAAGTGCGTTCTTAGTTTTTGATACCGCGTTTGCTGCACTCTTCATAAAATAAACCTCACTTTATTGTTTTCTTAGGAAAAGTTTCAAAGCTAGTTTAAGTTTGTATTGTTATTGCACAAAAAGTGGCTAAGATGGAAGCAAACATTGAAGCTGCCTTTATCTAGCTATTTTTAATTTAGACAATATTGAGCCTAGAGATTGCCTTATCAATTTTAGGTTTCAGAACGAACATATTGCAAACATATTAAATAAAAATTCAAAATCAAATAGTTAGGTTTTGGGTTAGAAGTTGGAACCTGAGCTTGCGATGTTAGTGGTGTTGCCAAAGTTCAAATTTGCCCAAACAATTTTCACATAAAATCCGTAATTACGCAATAATGGTCTTATTTAAATTAACAAAGATTTCTTATTCAATTAATAACATTAGAAATAAGTCAAATATGTCAACACTGTCGTTCTGCTTTTTAACGTGATGCTTATTTTTGCAAAAAAAATGCATGCCAAGGCTTAAAGCAGCAACAATGCTACACATAAAAACTGATGATGGTGGAAAAATACTCCGAAACGTATTTTGATTGATAAATAGAGACAATAATAAATGACTGAAACCCAGGAAAGAATTTGATTTGAAATTGAAGCAGTCAGGAAAGTATATACAATGCTTATTAACGTTACCGCTACTCGTACGTAAAGAAAGGAACACGTTATCCTCCAATAACGTAAACGGTTATTTCTTTACTAATGCGCATGCTCAGAATAACGGATAACGTAAAACGTGTTGCAATTAAGGGGCCTAAAAACTCGCTAATTTCGCTCGACATTTGCGATCGGTTACATCGGTGTAAATGCAGCAGATCTTTCGGTTTTTGTTTGCCAAGTCTGAATGAGCCTGAAGAGTTAGAAACGGTCGCTGATTGCACTGCAGGCTGATTATTATTAGCGCTGATAAGAATGTGCTTCTCGTGACATTTTCGACGACACGTTCCCGATAAAATCGTCTTGTTCGCTTGTTTTTCGTCAGCACTTAAAGCCCGTGACAGTTGATTTGAAAAAAAGTACGAATGTTGCAAGGTGCCCGATGGTGGTTGCACAAAAACATGGAATAAATCTTGCAAAGTGGCCCTTTTTCTGTCACATCTACAGGCCCATTAAACCCGACCTTCTCACTTCGAACAGATGTTTTCGATATTTTTGTTTTCGACCTGTTTCTGCCACATTATTGATCTTGTCGATGGATGGTTGGCATTTCTACACCAAAGAGTTTGAAGTTGTATAATTGGCTTTGGAGTTTTTTGGAGAAAAAAGGGATTATTTGTCCAAATACACGCAAGCAGTAATAACCGGTCTAACTCGCCAGTTTTCTGTGATTGTTCGGTTCCGATTATAATGGATACGTATTTTGAAATTAGGCCCCGACAAGGCGCGATTGTATGAAATGTGGAAAGGAACGTGGGAAAAAGGGTTAGAATTGCACTATTAGTTAGTAAAATGTGTGAATTAAACCCTTGCCGCACGTCTACCCCCTTAAGACTCGAAGGGTCACTTGCACGGAAAAGGAAACGGGCTGAATTTGGGTAAATCGGGTGAATTTCGCGAAAGGCCGCAATAATCGACCTTTTCGGGACTGGAGGAAGAAAGGGCCACCGATTGGGCCGGAAAGGGTTAAAGGGGCATCTGGAAATGTGGAAAGGATTGAAATTCTCACGATCGGCTGCATTTTTCTTCATCTTCGGGCAAATTCCCGGGTTTGCCGGGCCCGTCAATTAAGTCCCTTCGCCCTTCGCCATCAGTCTCGGGTATCGGATTTCGCAATTTCGTCGCCCGAATAGAATTCCCGGATCCGCCAAGCAATCATTTACGGCTATAATGGGCCAGAAGCAAATCCCCCGGGATAATAACGGTCAATAACAGGCGCTTTCGAGTGCCACTCTCCAGAGAATGGCCAACATATGTCTTGGTTTGGGTTAGTTACTGCTGGCAGTGTTAATTGTCTTTGCTTGAGGAACCGACAGTTTTCCGTTCTGGTAGTCATCTACGAACACTCTGTATGCGAAGCGGCAACGTTGAAATTTAATTTTTAAACGACTGGTTTTTCGCCGCGCTTCTTACCATCAATTTTTACAATCAATTTTACATGTTTTCGTTGGCGTTCGTTCGGGTTTTGTAGTGAATATTTTTGGAGGAAAAATGGGACGCCACTGGACGTCCATCAGGTTTTTGTGCAACCACCATCAAGCACCGTGCAACATTCGTACTTTTTTCCAAACCGTGCGGATCAACTGTCACGGGCTTTAAGTGCTGACGAAAAACAAGCGAACAAGACGATTTTATCGGGAACGTGTCGAAAATGTCACGAGAAGCACATTCTTATCAGCGCTAATAATAATCAGCCTGCAGTGCAATCAGCGGCCGTTTCCAACTCTTCAGGCTCATTCAGACTTGGCAAACAAAAAGCGAAAGATCTGCTGCATTTACAGCGATGTAACCGATCCCAAATGTCGAGCGAAATTAGGGAGTTTTTAGGCCCCTTAATTGCAACACGTTTTACGTTATCCGTTATTCTGAGCATGTGCATTAGGAAAAAATAACCGTTTACGTTATTAGAGGATAACGTGTTCCTTTATTTACGTCCGAGTAGCGGTAACGTTAATAACCATCACGTTAAAAAGCAGAACGACGGTGTTGACATATTTGACTTATTTCTAATATTACTAATCATTGTACATACTTTCCTGACTGTGTTTCAATTCCAAATCAAAACTAATCAAAATCAATCAAAACTTGGCATGCATTTTTGTCTGCAAAAAAT